TGCCGTCTCATCACTAGCTAAAATGTACCCCTTCTTAAGAGATCTGATCGTCAGCCCCAAGAGAACACCTCCTTCAAACTCATAGGCACTAGTGACACCAGGTGCATTAGTCAGGGTTCTCCAGAGAAGGAGAACTGGTATACTTTATGCACACACATACAAGTGGGGGGAGGGGGAGAGAGAGAGATCTACAGAGGCTGAGAAGTCCCACAATCTGCCATCTGCAGGCTGGGGACCCAGGAAAGCCAGGGTGTAGTTCAAAGGCCTGAGAGCTAAAGAGCCAATGGTGTACATTCCAGTCTGGGTGAGAAGACCTAAGAACTAAGAGCACTAAGGGCAGGAGAAGATTGATGTCCTGGGTCCAACAGGTAGAGAGGGAATTCAACCTTCCTTTGCCTTGTTGTTCCATTCAGGTCTTTAGTGGGTTAGACAAGGCCCACCACATTGGGAAGGACCCTCTGCTTTACTCATTCACTAATTCAGAGGCTAATCTCTTCTGGAAATACCCTCACAGATACAGAGAGAAATACTCTTTTACCAGTTACCTGGGCATCAAAATTTTTCATCATAAGTTTCAATAGTTACAGCAAAGAATCTCATTTTGTTTTATATATATGGCCATTTTCAAATAAAACTACTCCATCATTCTCAAATGTGTCCGCCGGACTCTAAATGCTATAGCTATTTGATATCCACTATCTCCATTAAAAGAAATACATTCCAATTCCCTCGTAATTTTATCATATTTTTATGCTTAAAAGTTCACCTTGTCCTATTTCTCTGCAATAAAAATATGCATATTAATTTGCATTGCTTTAAAACATTCAGTAAACACAAGACTCTTAAAAGCGTTTTAAATTTCTCCTGGCTTGATTAATTACAATTAGTATTACTACAGAGTTGAGCATTACAAATGTGTTTTCAAGTATTAAATATAAAAGTAAAATTTTATGGATGTAGATCTCTTAATGACATTGATGCTGGGTTTTTTTTGTTTTATTTTAAGATTTATTTAGGGCCTCCTGGGTGGCTCAGTCGGTTAAGCATCTGCCTTCAGCTCAGGTCATGATCCTGGGGTCCTGAGATCGAGTCCCACGTCAGGCTCCCTGCTCAGCGGAGAGAGCCTGCTTCTCCCTCTCCCCCTCCCCCTGCTTCTGCGCTTCTCTCTCTCACTCTCTCAAATATATCAATAAAGTAAAAACAAATAAATAAAAAATAAAGATTTATTTATTTGAGAGAAAAAGAGAGAGAGAGAGGAGGGAGGGGCAGAGAGAGAGGGAGAGAGAATCCCAAGCAGGCTTGGCACTCAGCACAGAGCCCCGACTCAGGGCTCAATCTCACCACCCTGAGATCATGAACTGAGTCTAAATCAAGAGTCGGACGCTCAACTGACTGAGCCACTCAGGCTCCCCAATCCTGGTTTTGTTGTTTTTTGTTTTTTAAAGAAAGCTCTATGTCCAACTTGAGGCTTGAACTCACAACCTCGAGATCAAGAGTCACATGCTGTACTGACTGAGCCAGCCAGGTACCCCAGATTGATGCTCTTTTTATTTTATTTTAAGATTTTATTTATTTATTTGACAGAGAGAGACACAGCGAGAGAGGGAACACAAGCAGGGGAGTGGGAGAGGGAGAAGCAGGCTTCCCGCCAAGCAGGGAGCCCCATGTGGGGCTTGATCCCAGGACCTGACCTGAGCTGAAGGCAGATGCCTAATGACTGAGCCACCCAGGTGCCCCTGATGCTCTTTTTAAAAAAATGAGATCATGTATCTATGGTACTGAGATGAGGCAGAGCTCACTGGAAATCAATTGCAAAATAGGTTATTGAGCAAGTGTGGGGCTTAAAATATATATATTAATAATTATGTGCATATTTACAGAATGTTAAAAATATATAGATGCTAAAACATACTCCATTTGGTAGGAATGAATAGAAAGCAAAGAAGTAATTGATAACTCCTACTAAGCAATAAACTCCCAAAGTTTAAAAAAAAAACAAAACGGATTTAAACTTTCTAGTAGCCTTTGGCAAAGCTAATGAAAACATTTCTCCCAATAATCAGAAAAATGTTTTATTTAAAGATGTAAGGTTGGGGCGCCTGGGTGGCTCAGTTGGTTGGGCAACTGCCTTCGGCTCAGGTCATGATCCTGGAGTCCCTGGATCGAGTCCCGCATCGGGCTCCCTGCTTGGCGGGGAGTCTGCTTCTCCCTCTGACCCTCCCCCACTCTCATGGGATTTCTCTCTCTCATTCTCTCTCAAATAAATAAAATCTTAAAAAAGAAATAAATAAAGATGTAAGGTTGATGTGTAGAAAGTAAACACTGATGCTTTCACCTCCTTACTTAAAATCATGCATATATATTTTATAAGATGCAAGTTTATATCTTAGTTTGAGTAGGGTTTTTGGAGACTAATATTTCAAATTGTCCCTTTATTTGGTGCCTTGGAGATTTTCTTATACTCTGGGGAATGCACTGTTGTAAAAATAGGATGGATAAAAAATACACTTTTCTTTTGTAAAGAGGAAAAATGGCAGTTGTGAGAAAGAAGCTAAAAAGGAGAACCTACAAAGTTCTACCTTGACAGCAGGCAACTCAGTTTTAGGAGGAAGTACATATTTTAGCAGAGAAATTTAGAAACAATTCTCTAAAAACTGTCATCTGCAAACCTGAATTTCATGGGAAGGCACTGTGAAACTCAAGTGGTTATAAACACACCCATCTGAAGGCTACTGGTTTAAAGAATATTCTTAACGACCATTGTACATATAGCATCAAATCAACAGAATTACTTGTATGAAGAGGTCTTAAAAAATGGAAGAAAGAAATATCTGAAAGAGACTTTTAGACATAGAAGTAGAAACAGAAATACAACTTCCAACTCAAGGACAACAATCTGTCTTCCTCAACATTATTGCCAGCCCTGCCTAGCACATTGTAGGAGCTTAATGGATAGTGAGTGATAGCATATAAGCAAAGTAAATCTAAAAAGAGCAGGAAGGGGGCACCTGGCTGGCTCATTGGGAAGAGCATGTTGACTCTTGATCTTGGGGTCGTGAGTTCGAGCCCCATGTTGGGTGTAGAGAGAACTAAAAACATAAACTTTAAATAAAAAAATAAACAGGGCGCCTGGGTGGCTCAGTTGGTTAAGCGACTGCCTTCGGCTCAGGTCATGATCCTGGAGTCCCTGGATCGAGTCCCGCATCG